ACTTAACATACTGGGATCAAATTCCTGCTCAAGCTCTAGTAGCATCTTATCTCTATCTTTGTTGCTTTCCCCAATGTCGTCCCATATGATCTGCATCAGAGTAAAATAAGTAATGAAACAAAGGAAACAGAAATTCTTATCTGAAACTGTTGACATGCTCATCAGATAGTAATATATAGATCAGTCTTCGGAGATTCATAAAAAAATTGATGATGTGGTATACCAGATTGGCATAAAATAAATATTACATAACATTATGATAACTAGTAGCCAATCGAGGTGGAGGCAAAGTGTTGAGTAAACAATTGCAAGACAATTACACCACAAGGGAAATTTCAAAACTTATGAAAAATAAAACTTCGAAACAGTCAACAAAATTATTAGCCAAGGCACAAGCAATAAAATTTGAATATGAATCAATAAAATTCACAGATGAACTACATTTCTCTCTGAACCAACTCATGAAGATGCCTACTAGCAAGTCGCGAGGATCATTTGAAACAAAGAATTGGATTAGATCTTAGATAAAAACATTGACTTGGAAAGAAACCCAAATGATAACAGAGAAATAAATGAACCCTGCTGAACCCAATTATGAGCTCCGATAAAATTCGGAAACACACGAGGGAATGGAACTAATTATCAATTATGAGTTCAACAAAACCGACATATAGACCACAAATGTCATCGATTAATGGAAAATAAACACAATTTCAACAAACAGTTTCCAGAAAGACAAATAAAAACCAAAGAGATAACCACCCAAAAAAAAAAACCTAGGTATAACACCCATCGTAATGGTCAGCAATCTCAACAATCACACTGACCCCAAAGAAATAAGGAGACGATGAACAAGAGACAGAGGAATTCAGAAACAGAGAGCATAGGAAAAACCTGCAGCTCGTGTAGAAGGGAGCTGCAAGTTGTGTGCGGAGGAGACGGATACGGCGACGGCGTCGGAGACGGAGGCATATCTGTTTGTCCACTGCGCCGGAGAAAACGAGAGGACGGAGATCGCGGCAGCGCTCGAAACCCTAGAAAATAACGACAGTGACGAAGAGGTAGGTCTTTTGTAGTTCGTCGACTTTCCGATTTCGGTTTCAGACGTGAAGATCCCAAAGAGATTTCATTGGGAGGAAGAGAGAGAGCGAGGGAGAACGATTTGGAGAGTGTTTTTGGCGGCAATAGAGGATTTTTGTTTTTTGTTTTTGTTTTCGTTATATTTCGGAGAAGTGGCGTGTGATCTGTTTTATTTATTAAAAATAATTTAATATTGCGATTTAAGATTTAAATGCCCATTTATTTTCATATATACAAACAGCTTGAATATCTTTTCAAAATACTAATATAATAATATACAAACTTATATATATTGTGATGCTTTTGAAAAACTTATAATTTGTGGATTTGAGTATTTTTGGCATATATAGTTTGAGTTCATATGGTTTAAAATGATTAAATTGTTTGAGTCAGGAAACAAAAAATTTCCAATGTATTTTAGTACTCAAGGTTTTAAGTAAAATAAGTAAAACTGATTTTTTTTTATAATTTTAAGAATATAATTATGCTTGAGAAATCTTAATAAAATATCTCATAGTTTCTAAAGTCATTTTTGCTTATGTATAATTTCTTTTTAGTTTTTAGTTTTTTTTTAATAAGTTACTGATTATTTGCTTTCTAGCCCTTGTAGCATTTTGTTCGGATTTAATGTCTTCTATTGATTAGGGCGCGATTAGTGGGGATTAGTATTGATTATCACTAATTTCATGCTATTTACTGATAATTTGCCATTGCAAATATCTTTTTAAAATTTTTATAAAGGGTACAAAAGAAATAATATTTAATGATATCAGAAATAAATCTGATTTAAAAATGAATTACTTATAATGTTTTTAAATCAGGTTAATTAAATCCAGATTGGATATGTAAATAAATGTGAAACGAATAGAAAAGAAAATATTATAGAAAATAATTATTTTTAAATAAAACGAAACCGAACGAAAAGTTAATCACTAAAACAATGTATATAAATTTAATAATATAGTTTTCCATAAAATTTATAACCGAAAAATAACGGAGTCGAAACAGATATGGACCTTCTAACCATTAGAATGAAAAACTATGGTTTTGAATGCTCGATTTCTCGCTCATCTTCATCTGATTTAATCAAATTATCGGGAAAATAGCCTAAAAATTATGAAAATTTACGTGAATTTTTACATATATAAATAAAAACACAAATTTTGTCAAAATCATCATGATCATCTATGTCCGTGTTTGCACGTATGTCAGGGTGAAATCATTACCACATGTGCAGATACGACGTCAGCAACGTTAAAATTCTACTGTCATCTACGTTTAATATCCTGATTAGGTTACAAAAATCGTGTTTTTTTTTTACAAAAATAGTCTTTAAAGTCTAGATTGATTATACAATCTTTTCACTGAACTCGAGATGATGGAGAACAATGATTTATACATAAAAAAACACTCAAATTAACTCTTATGTATTAAAGTTGTTTTCTTTTTAAAATATGATTAAACAATTTTTATACCCGTAAAATCGTACCAATACAAGAAGGTTAAATATGGAATTTTCTTCTTTTTCGTACATATATATTTATGTTAATATATCTTTATCGTTATAAACTGCATTTCCTGCACGTGTTACACTTTTTAAATTGATCACGTTGTGCCTCGTTCATACATTCTCTCATGTATCCTCAACCATCTTAGAGTATCTGCTCATATACATCAGAAGAGTACATGTCATAGTTCAGTTCAATAATGCCTATGAACTTAACATACTGGGATCAAGATATCAGAAACTAAGGTGGACATTTCAGATTCCGTTTTGGTATTTTTGGGTTTCGTTTTTATTCGATTCTATAAAAATTTTATCAAATTAGAAATGGATGTTAATTGATCTGTTTGGAACGATTTTATTGAATTGGTACTAAACAAGAATTGAAATTTGATATTCACGAAATTTATGAGGTTCGGTTTGGAGCAGATCATTCAGTTTTATAAAAATTATACCAAAATTAAAATCGAATATTATTCGGTTTTGTTCAATCCAGTTGAGGACCAAATTCCAGAATGAAAAGCCCACATCCACGTACTAAAATGGGCTTTCTAACGCCCCCAATGAAATGATGAATGAGAATATCAAAATCATTTTTTTTTTTTGGGTGCAAGTCGGGTGGCTGGCTTACGTAAATTCGAATCGAATCAAATAGTAGGTAACGATATTCAAACCGAATTTTAATGTGAAAATCTATCCATATCTTTAGTGTCAATGACGGTCGTCAATGATGTTTGGAAAAATATATCTTTATATATAAGTACAGTTTGTGTAATATGGAATTGACATCGTGTATCTAAAATTTTTTGATTGTGTTTTTAATGTCTACCTCATTTAATGTCCACCTCAGCGAATTCATGATCCTTTCTTTACAATTCATCAACGAATTTATCATTTACATTGATTATTGATGTGGATCTAGGATGTAATCTAATCTTGTTTTATTTTTCTAGACACGACTACCGCAAGTGCACGGGTCAATTGCAGTATTTAGGGTCGAACACAGGGACACGCGGACATTAATGGTACAATTAAGGATTCTACTTGGTTTAGATCGGGACGGTAATTTTGAGTGGTGATGATGGTGATTAAATGTAAATATTATTTAAAGCAAATACAAACAACGATTTTAACACAATTTAATTAAGACATTGTAGGTATCAGGATTTTTCGGGTTATGTAAGGATCGTTCCTAAAGATATATTTCGGTAACTATGATTATAATTTAGAAAATTCAAATCCGTATTTGTAAAGGATTACCCTCTCGAGTCTCACCTTATTTTCTAGGAATTTATTCTACCGACCTCTCGGTTTTGAATAGATTAAAATTCCTAAAAATCATTAAATCCACTATCATAATTTCTAGGCAATGCATCTCTCGATGCGAAAATTACCCAATCGAATAAATGATTTCCGAATTCAAATTTCGTATCTCTATGTATATTTAAATTCTAACTTCAACAATTCAATTGGCCAAAATGAATTGTAGCATTAAAATCTATTTATTCAATCCAAATTATAAAACCATAGTTACTAAAATTAATTAAACACGTACGATCCTTACAAACCGTTCAATCCCTAACCTATAATGATAAAACTACTCACACATGATAGAAATCACAACAACAAAAATCCAAGAAGAATTCATAAATATAAAAGATAGAGAAAGAGAATTCTCAATGTTTTTGCAGGTTGGGCGGATCTGTTCTTCCTTCTCTCTGATGATGTTCTCGTCTCTCTCTCTCTGCAACTCTCTCTGCGATTTACTCCGTCTGTCGAATATCTAGAACTCTCCGTGTTCTCTGCTCTCTCCTCCCCCCTCCGTTCGTAGCATGTAAAGAGATAAAGAGTGATTGATGTCCTTTTCTTTCTTTTCGGAGTGGCGCAAATCAAGGGAACGTGTTTTTCTTCTTTTTCCATATTATCACAACAAAACAAATTCGTGGCTGCTCACACATCCTTTCACACATATATATATACACACTATATATTATATGTAGATATATATGTTTACGTGTACGTATATTACATATATTAATACATATGCGTAATATGCGTATATACACACACATCACGTATGTATATTATATATAATTATATATAACTTATATAATATATACATATACTGAAAAAGCCACCACAAGTTGGTCCGGACAGGAGAGAGAGAAGATTCTCTCCCTTCTCTCGATCTTTACCATCTCAATCCTAACCCTAGCTTTTTCAACCTTCACCGGCCGGCCTCTGCCGGCTGGCCTCCACCCCCTGCTACGCCTCTCTGTAAATGGTCATGCCACCTCGGTGCGCTCCTCCTCCGCCCCCCTCCCCGGGTCTCCTTGGTCCTCCACCTCCGCTTCCCTTGGCCTCTCGTCATGCGACATCACTATCTGTTGCTGCTGCGAAAAGCCCTCCACCTTCTCCCTCTTCCTTCCTCGCTCCTCCATCTAACATCTCCCCCCCTCTCCAGCCCTCTCTTCAAGTCTCCTCCTCTTATTTCTGCTCAGGCTTCGACTGAGTCAATGTCCCCCCCATATCCGAAAAGCCAGTCATCTTGGCGCGTTCGTGTAGTCTACCCATTTCACCTTCTGTTCCAACTCATCCTTCTACTCATACACTCTCCTCTTCTACGACTCTCTCGCCGGCAGCCCTAGTGGCCTCTTCATTGGATAACCCTTCGGTTGTCCCTCCCCCTCCTGTCGAGGCGGTTATTCCTCCAGCTCAGCCGGTCGAGGCCAGCCCGTCTGGTTCTCCTCCTCCTGGGAATTGGAGCTCTCGGCTCCTGTCATCTCTGAGAACCCTTAAAAGAACAGGGTCTCCTGTTGTGCACTCCTCAGGCAATCCGCTCATTGAAATCCCGATTGAATCGATCATGGAGTCGGCAGCGGAATGGTCGGAATTCCTTATGGGTCAGTTCTATGGGCTCCCCCCGTCAATGCCATCTGGGGCAAGAAAGGCCAGCGTATTAAGGTCCATGACCTTGGTAATGGCACGTTCCTCTTTAAGATGCCTTCCTCTGAGGTCAAAAACCATGTCCTCAGTCGGAAATTTTGGCATATTGGGTCTTGTCCCATGTATGTTTCTCTGTGGCATCCGAATTACTCCCCTGAGAAGCCAACTCTAAAGTCAATTTCCACCTGGGTATCACTACATAATGTCCCTTACCAGCTTTACAACTCTGATTGTCTGAGCCGGCTTGCTACTAGTATTGGGAACCCACTGTACCTTGACCGCGCCACGGGTGCTAAAGAAAACCTGAAAGTTGCTAGAGTATACATGGATGTAAATCTGCTCGCTCCGCTGCCCTCTCGTCTGGTAGCCACTCTCCCGTCAGGGGAAGAATGCTTCATCACAGTCGCTTATGATTGGATCCCGCCGCTCTGTTCGGCCTGTGCAGAAAGGGGTCATAACTCCCAGCATTGCCCGAAACACCCTCCAACTGCACGGGATAAGAGGACCAGCGTCCATCTTATTCCGCAGCCAGAGCAGTGCCGAGACCAACCTGGTAGCCATCCCCCACCACCCCCACCACCCCCACCAC